GAAGAGAGAGAGAGAGAGAGAGAGAGAGAGAGAGGAGAGGAGGAGAGAGAGAGGAAGAGAAGAGAGAGAGGAGAGAGAGAGAGAGAGAGAGAGAGAGAAGAGAGAGAGAGAGAGGAGAGAGAGAGAGAGAGAGAGAGAGAGAGAGAGAGAGAGTGAGAGAGAGAGAGAGAGAGAGAGAGAGAGAGAGAGAGAGAGAGAGAGAAACAGTAATCCAGGGCAGCACTACGAGTCTGGCCACTGGAGTATGTAACAAAACAGCTCAGGGAAACACTACAAGTCTGATCGCTGAGACAAGGGCAAAAGGCCAGTCAACAAGTATAACAGGCAGGTAGTATAGAATAGCAAGCAAGGGAGGGGCTGTTAGAAATAGACTGCAAATACCACTTTTGTACTTGTACTTTTATATCCTAGTTTAGGTTATGAAAATTCTAGTGGGTTGGGGTGTACTCACAAATCCCAACCTCACCCAATTGTGATCCCCCCAATCTCCAATTACCCAATTGGAGATTCCGGAGATCCCAATGGGGATTCCCTCCAATTCCCCCTTCATCCATTCACTCTCACCTTGCCATGTACTTATAGAGCCTTGGGCTCCTTACCTAATCAATCATTTCAACTCTATTTCTTACATGGTATCAGAGCGACCTATCCGCACACGCGGATCAAGGTCCTAATCTCACATGCCCGCGCTACGCGCACTTCATCGTCGCGACATTCGTTTCGAGTCGTCGGAATTTCGACGTGCTCCACTCTGCAGTCGCGCCTCTTATCGTCGACCGCCTTCGAGCTCGACCTCGTTGAATTATTCATGTCTGAAGCTTTCACGCTTCTCATCGTCGATTTCCTCCTCGGTTCTCCTTGGTCGAATCTCAATTTCGACCATCTCTTAAAACTCGTTCTCGAGTTTCCCCTCAGACCCCGCCAGAATAGGCGAACTCCCCTCGCGAAATCGCCTCCACGAACGTCTCGCGTCAAATCAAGAGCAGGTACACAGGTTGAAGTGGAGCGGAGCTGTTTACGGAGCTGGTTGCGGAGCTGGTTGCGGAGCTGTGTAGCTGCGGGACAGGGCCTGGGGGTGTGTGGGGGGGTGTGTGGGTCCGGGGTTAGACAGAGGCTCAGATTCAGTTTCAAGTCGGCGTTTTAACGAATTTTCGCCGACGCCATTTCCTACTTAGCGGCATTTTGATAAAGCCGTCAGAGTGATTTTCAGCAATTCTCGTCGACCAATTTCCAGAAGTGCCGCGCTGCACACCGACAATGGCTTACTCAACCACTTCACTCGCCAACCCGATCCCGCTCCTTCGTCTCGAGCCGGACGGTACATGCTCCAACTACAAGGCTTGGCGCTATGGTGTCGACAAGCACCTCCTCAGTCGCGAGGTGAAGGGGCTCGAGCTCACCGACGTCCTTGTCAACATCGGTGACGGCAAAGAGCCTCCTAAACCCGAGAGGTCCGCCGATCCAGCTAATGCCGCCGCCGAAGCAGTTTATGCTGCTGCACTGCGCAAGTACAAGAATTGGGAGAAGGCCGATGGTGCGGTCATTAGTGTCTTCATGGGCACCACTCCTCCCGAACTCGTCGAAACCTACCACAACTACCCGTCTGCCAACGCCATTTGGCTCTACCTCGAGGATCGCTTCCTGAACAAGACTGCTCTTGGGCCTTGCTCCTGCAGACCTCACATTTGCCAAGGTCTCATCTGCGCTCCTTTCTGCCGAAAAGGACAACAGCGCTCAAGCCAAGGCCAATGCAATCCGCGCTCCCGTGCCTCAAGCCTATGCCGCTTCGGCGCCATTCCAGCGCAACCGCTTCCCCCCGTGTCCCTATGTCATCAAGCGCGGCCCTCGTGCCGGCCAGGTGTGTGGCGGCACCAACCACGCCCTTGCCTCCTGATTCAAGAAAAAGGATGACGAGTGGTATGCCGTCAATGGGACCGCCTCCAAGCCGCCAAGCTGGATGGTCCATCGTGCTCCTCGCCAAGTCAATCAAGTCGAAGCGCAGGAATCCGTGCAGGCTGCTATGGCTGCACCTGCTGATGTGCGCCTCAACATATTGTTCCCTGGCACTACCATGATTAACGAGACAATTTCGCACTATCCTGGCTCACAAAGCACCTCAGCCACAATAGAGTTCGCCCTCGACAGTAGGGCCACTCACACGGTTCTCAAGGAACAACACTCCTTCAAGCCATACGAGACACCAATCCGTCTACTAGGAGCAGACTCCAGTTTCACAACACACGCCAAGGGCTCCTCCACAGTTCCGTGCCCAGCTTTTCCTTCGGACAGTGTCACCGGCATGTGTGTTCCCACACTACGCCACAATCTCGTGGCCCAATACGAGCTCCAACGGGCAGGCGTCACCACGATCTTCCCAGCACACTCGGATCACTGTGACCTCTTCTACCCTAAGTCCAACAAGCTCCTAGCATGCTTCACACTCAACAGTAGCAAGCTCTACATGCTGCGTTCACCTGCACCTCTCGCCGCCCTCTCCCAAGCGCAAGCTGCCAGCACCACTCCGTGTTCGTATCGCAGCTTCGCCAACCCAACCATCCTCTACCACCATCGCTTGGGTCACCCCAACTTCCGTACACTTGCCGACATCGCTTCCAAGAAACTTCTTCTTGGCCTCCCGTCGGCGCTTCCTCCACCAACAGTCTCACCTGCACCCACCTGCCTGGACTGCACCAAGAGCAAGCTCAGGCAGCAGCCGCACCCTTCCTCCCCATCCGCGTAGCACGCATTTAGACGCGACGCAACCTTGCCATCCGCACCGTGTGACAACCCTTTCGTGGAAGGATTCCAAAGCTGCACATTGCACAGTGACTTGATAGCTGCGCTCTGCGCACCTGTCATTTTCGCCTTCCTCTCTCCTCCTCCCCCTCCCCCCATGTCGCTGGAAGCCGGTCCCTGGTCGCTGGTAGCTGGCTGCAAGTAGCTGATTCCCACCTGCCATGGCAACGGACTCGCTCGCGGTTGACTTCAGCACCATCGACGCACTTGAACTCGCTGATGGCGTGGTTCCTATCAACTGGAACTCATTTGCGCAAAGCATCTCCACTGTTCTCGGCTCCACAATCCTCGAGGACAATGAGGTAGGAAAGCCCCCCTCCCCCCCTACCATGCTTGGCACCCTCCCTCCCTCCCCCCCTGATCCCCCCTCAGGACCTGAGCCCATCAAGCCCAATCACCCTGAGTACAACACTGATCCTGACCGCTGGGCTCGCCTCTGCACTATGTACGACAAAGACTTTGCCGACTACACTCTTCTCCAACACACCTACTCCGAGAAGCAGAATGCCCACGACGAAGCCAAAGAACTCATCTCCAAGTACAACGAAAACGCTGCTCAGCGTGCCGCAGACTCTCGTGAGTTTCGCACTCGCTATGCTGCTTGGGTTTAGGCTGACTGCAAATGCCTCTCCATCCTCATTTCTTGCGTCCCTACCTCCCTTAAATGCGAGACTAATCCCTCCTCCTCTGCCTCTTTCTGGAAGAAGCTTTGTGCCACCTATGACCTGCAGGACACAAACTCTCTCCTCGCACTCCATCGTGCATTCCTCCATCACACTTGATAGCTGCCCCAACGCGCTTGCTTTCACCCGGCGCCTCACCTCCACTGCCAGCCGCCTTGCTGCTCGTGGCTCAGCTCTTCCCGATTCCCTCCTCATGTGCTGCCTCCTTGATGGCCTCTCGCCGATGTTTGACACGCGCAAGGTGGCCTTCGATGAAGTCCATGCCCGCCACCCGCCTGACTCCACCAAGGTCGTCTCGTAGATCCTAAAGACTGAGGCGGACCTCCTCCGTCAGTCTCCTCCAACCGTGAATGCCGCACAGGCACGTGGTGGACGTGGTGGCGGACGTGGTGGCAGCACGGCGGGGCGCTCTGGAGGAGGTCACGGGGGCAGACGCAGTGGTGGACGCGGCAGTGGCAGCGGCCAAGGCATTGGTAACTACCCTCCATGTCAGTATCTCATTCGTTACGGCACCAACAAAGGTTAGCGCTGCCTCAAAACTACTCATCCCACAACCACCTGCTTCAAGGCACTTACAGATGAATGGTTTGACCGCAGGAACACTGGTATCCCACCTCCCTGGTCATCCATGACTCCGCCCCCCATTGCTCTTGATGTTCGCACGACTCCCACCTATCAGCGGTCCTCCCTACGCCAGATCCTGGCACAGCACCTCTCCCCCCAAGTCCTCCAGCAGGTTCAATCCCTTCTCCCTCCATAGCAGCAGCAGCAGTACACCCAACAGCAGCAGCAGTACCCCCAGCAGCAGCTGCAGCTGTCCCAGCAGCAACAGCCGTTTCAGCAGTAGTACCAGCAGCAGTACCAGCAGCAGTTCCAGCAGCAGCACCAGCACCAGCAACAGCAGCAGCAGCAGCCGACTCCTCCTCCCCCATCTCAGCAATCCTCCGCTTTGAGTGCTATGCCGGCCACAACTGCCCAGACTTCCTCTGGTCCTCCCGGTTTCACTCCCTTCCCCTCTGCTGATTTCCTAGGTCATGTTACTCAGCCCAATCCCACTTTTCTGTATCCCGAATCTATTAATGAAGCTTCTCTCCAGTATTCCCGGACCCACTCCTGCCCTCCCCTTGAGTTCGTAATTGACAGTGGAGCAAGCGCCACAGTCCTCCGTGACGCCAGTCATCTTGCTCCCCTAACCTCCCCCTCCACCATCCTTGGGGCAGATTCCAGTTTCTCCATCACCACCACTCACACCTCCACCCTCCCCTGTCCCATTTTTCCCTCTGGCTCCGTCACAGGTTTTCACATCCCCTCACTTCATACTAACCTTGTCTCCCAAGATGCCCTCCAACGTGCCGGGGTGACTACAATCTACCCCAGCCATGCTTCCCACTGTGACTTGCATCACTCCACCTCCGGTCGATTCATTACCCGTGTCCCCGTGTGTCCTACCTCTCGTATGTACACCCTTCGCACTCCTCGTCCTGCCCTATGTCAGGCTACCTCTCTTCCCCCCTCCAATCCCCCTACACTTTTTGCTCTTCAACCCCCACCCACCAGTCCCTCCACTCCTCCAGCAACCCCCCCATCCCAATGCCACTGCCGGGATCTCTCCCATCCCGCCCTACTCCTCCACCACCGCCTTGGGCATCCCAATTTTGCCACCCTCCAACGCACTGTTGCCACTGGCCTTCTCAAAGGCCTTCCACTCACCCTTTCCCCTCTCCCTCCCTCTCCTGCCCCTCCCTGCACCATTTGTGTTTAGGCTAAGCTGAAACAACTCCCTCATAAAAGCCA